CCACAGAGCAGCACAGATGAATCTTGAAACAATTGTGCTGAGTGAGGAAAGTCCGTTAGAACGTAGCCCGTGCGATGGGACATTCTGGGAAAAGCCCGTGTCCAGTGGCGGAGCTGGGCTCCGGGGGGGGTGTGTGTGGGGGCATGAGAGGACAGAAACGTCTGCTACACAGACAGTGGTCATGGTTCCATGACGCCCACGTGTCAAAACTGACCCAATAGTAACGCTTGATTGACAGTGCCGTTCACGCCCTGGCCGATGTGCTCAGTTGGCTGAGTGTTGTCCTATGAATGAAGACGTCGCGGGTCCGATTCCTGGTCAGGGCACAGGCCTGGGTCGTGGGCTCCATCCCCAGTAGGGGGCGTGCAGGATGCAGATGGTTGGTGATTCTCCCCTCTCTCTCAAATCAATAATAATTATAATCGGGAGGAAATGGGGGAATCTGTGATAGCATCAACAATAAAACATATTCAAATAATGATAAAAACCTTATTAAATAGCACACTTCGTCGTGTGGGTTAAGCCTCCATAAAGGTGTTACCTTTTTAAAAATATGTTTTTATTGATTTCAGAGAGGAAGAGAGAGGGAGAGAGAGAAACATCAATGATGAGAGAGAATCTTTGATCGGCCACCTCCTGCATGCTCCTCACTGGGGATGGAGCCCGCAACCTGGGCATGACCGGGAATCCAACCGTGACCTCCCGGTTCATAGGTCGACGCTCAACCCTTGAGCCCCACTGGCCAGGCTCCCGCTGTGTTAATACGCTCCAGGATGCAGAGAGCTTGGTTTCCTGAATGCCATCGCGCTAACTGGCCTGGGCGGCGAAGGTCACTCACGTGCTCACCAGGCGAGGGGACGCACCCTGAGGTCAGGAGCCTCAGGGAGGTGTCAGGGATCGTGCAGTGTCAGAAGTGTGGGGAGATCCCACTTAATGTGAGCTAAGTCGCCCAGCTGGTGTGGCTCAGTGGTGGAGCATCGACATGAACCAGGAGGTCACGGTTCAATTCTCGGTCAGCGGTCAGGGTACATGCCAGGGTTGCAGACTTGATCCCCAGTAGGGGGCGTGCAGGAGGCAGCGGATTGGTCTTCCTTTCTCATTGATGTTTCTCTCTCTCCCTCTCCCTTCCTCTCTCTCTAAAATAATCAATACAACCATTAAAAAAAATAGTGGAATAAGTTGCTGTACCTTACTCTGCCCACTTCTAAGAGGCCCGGTGCCTGGTGGGACTGTGGATTTGGGGGGCCCCTTTCCTGGGCAGTAGGTCATGTTGGCAAGACAGCCTCTGCAGCAGGTGCAGGTGTGCCGTGGCCCCCACCCCCTGCGTGGGCAGACGGCTCTGGGGGCTCAGGTGACATGCAGCAGCTGAGGCAGAGACACCTGGGCAGCACCAAGAGCAAGGCCCCTGCCCGGACCCCGGCACCCCAGGCAGGCCCGCTCGGTCCTCTCCGTCAACCCTCCTCCAACCGAAAAAGTCTCAGGCCTGCAGCTGAGCTCTGGGAACTGCCTGACCCGGGTTGTAACCCCAGCACCCAGCGAGCGCCAAGTGCAGGCAGCATTCTGTCCAGAAATGAGTCACATGTTGGACCGGAGGCTCCAGCTCCGCTGACGTGCCGCCCTCCTCGCCCGGGCTGGGCTGCCCAGCTCCCTGTCGGCTGCCCGAAGAGAAGGGAATGGCACAGACGGGGCTATGGCAGCGGGTACACACACCCGCGTCTCGGAGGGTGGGACCACGATGGCACAGCGGCCCCTGTGGCTCTCCCAGGGGCAGCAGCCAGGAGGTCGACCAGTTGACCAGACTCAAAGCCCAAGACGAGATGGAGGGGGGGGGGAGTCTGGAGTGAGGGCACCGTGCCCCATAGAAATGGCTTGTTGATCCCAGGAGCCTCCCCTCTGGGACTCTCATAAACGGGGCCCAGGTGCCAGTGGTCGTGGCTGCAGGGCCGGGGCAGGGGCTGTGAGAGCCATTCATGTGGCCCTCCCCACCTCAGCACAGTGCCACGCCCAGCCCCAACCAGCAGACCACAGGGAACACAGCAACCTGATGGCCACCTGGCGACACAGAAGCCAGTCACAGCGGAAACGGTGGCTTTCCCCCTGGGGACAGAGGGACGGAGCAGATGACTGCCCTCAAGCCACGGCCACCTCCCAAGGAGGGGCCGTCGGACCGGGATAGGTGGCAGCTGCTGGGCCCGGAACCCACAGCTGGGGTGCAGCCTTGAACGTGTGCTGCTGTTTTGCTGGGAGCCAGAGCACTCAGGGCTGGGGAGGAGGGAAGAGGGAGGGCCACCCACCACCCCTCTGCCCCGCGGGATCTCCACTCGGCGTTTGCAGGCCCTGCTGTCCAAGGAAGGACGTGGTCACCAGGGAACCCAGCCCCCTCTGTGAGCAGGAAGCTGAGGTGGTCCCTGACCGCGGGGTCCTCAGGCCGCTGACCCAGCAGGCGGAGAGGCTCAGCTCTGCCGTTGGGGTGATGGGTCCGGACACCAGGGGACACAGGTCAGGGCCAGTAAGCTGCATCGTGTCCCCCACAGTTCATATGTTGAAGGCCTAGCCCCCAGCACCCCAGAAGTGGTCCTATTCAGAGATGGGGCCTCAGAAGAGGTGACGATAGTGTCATGAGTAGGCCCTACTCCAGGCGACATGTCCTGTACGTGGAGATCCCTACTCCAGGCGACATGTCCTGTACGTGGAGATCCCTACTCCAGGCGACGTGTCCTGTACGTGGAGATCCCTACTCCAGGCGACATGTCCTGTACGTGGAGATCAGCCGCACGTAGACAGCCACGGAGATGGCACCGTCTGTGAGCGGAGGAGGAGCCTGTCTGCTCACCTGGGGGCTCAGGCTTTCTGCCTCCGGGACTGTGAGAAGATCCATTTCTGCTGTCTGAGCCGCCCGGACGGTAGTGTTTTGTTATGGCCGCCCGAGCTGACTCAGACGGGGCTTTGTTATGGGGTAGGAACCCTGTGCGGTCACAGTGGTCAGTGGTGTGTCCCACAAAGACACAAGGCCCCCAGGCCCCCAGGCCCCCAGGCCCCGAGCGCTCAGGCATCCACTTGGGGAAAGGGACATGGGGACAGGTGCTGACTCTGGGGTTCAGATGGACATACGACCAAGCTGGTATCTCCCCCCCATGACAAGGAGTTGGTGGCCCATGAACGTTTCTTTTTTAAAAATATATTTTTATTGCTATCAGAGAGGATGGGAGAGGGAGAGAGAAACACCAATGAGAGAGTATCATTGATTGGCTGCCTCCTGCATGTCCCACACTGGGGATGGAGCCTGCAACCCAGGCCTGTGCCCTGACTGGGAATCGAACTGCGACCTCCTGGTTCATAGGTCGATGCTCAACCGCCGAGTGACACCCGCTGGGCTGGCGTGGGTTTCCAGGAAGCACCTCCCTGAGCTCCCTTCTGCACCCCCCTTTTTCTTAGGGTCTCCACAAACAATACCCCCACATTTCCGAAGCCCCTCCACAGCTGGCTTCTCCTCTGCCAGTGCACTGTGTTAGGCCGTCTTTCCCCGGAGGATACACGGGTTGCCGATTCCAGGGTCTGAGCAGGAGTGCCGTTGGCCCGTAGTGTTGCCATGGCCCTTTCAACGACTGGCTGTTCCCGTGCCACTTTGGAAGGGGCTTTCTCTCCACAAGACACAGAATCTGCCTCTCCAAGAAGGCGGCCCCATTCCATAGGGAGGGCTGGTGGGGACCTCTTATTTCCGAGATGATTTTATCCGACATCCATGCATCCCACACAACCCCCAGCCCCTCCAGAGAGCTGCCTGCCCTAGAAGGACGGCTTTGGTATGGAGAGGTGTCTCCCTCAATCATCATCGTCAGTTGTGTACAGATCAGCCGCACACACAGCCTGGCGCTTGTACAGGGAGACTTGCTCCAGCCAGTGTCTGTCCACAAAGGTCAACTCCAAGGCCCAGGTGTGGAAAGGCACTTTAAGGGGGTGAGTGACCCGGCGGGAGGAGAGAGCAGATCTGACAGCCGGCGGACAGCTGGTGCCGGTCCAGCCCACCGGTCAGCACAGGCGCAAAGGCATTGGACAGCAGGGCCCTCACGGGGCAGAGGCCTCCAGGTACTGCACTGGGTTCGAGAAGGGGCCTGGCCGGGCCCAGTAGTCCACCGCTCGAACCCGGTAGGAGCCAGAGACGACGGCCGTGTCTGGGGACACAAAGGTACATGCGTGTTCTGGAGCACGTGACCGCCTGAACCCACATCAAAGGGCAGCCTGGGGGTGGACGGAGCCTTGTCTTCCGCCTGCCCTTCCAGACCCATCCCCTCCCAATCTGAGGGCAGGGCAGCCCAGAGGGTGGTGGGTAGGAGTGGAATCAGGCCTCCACACCCCCCACGCCACCCACAGGGACCCCAGGCCCAAGGTCTCTGGTCCTGCCCGGGTGAGCTCTCCACACCTCTCTGGTCTGCAGTCAATGGTCCCTCACCTGCTCTGTCTGCCGGGAGCGGTGGGCTGGGGGCTGGGTACTATACCGCCCCTGTGGCAGCCCTGCCCCTGCCCCTGCCCTGCCCCTGCCCACAGCTCTATAGATGTCCCCAAACTGTCTTCAACTGAGCTCACCATCAGTCTCCCTCCGGGCCCAGATAAGGAGCCAGGATGTCGGTGGGAGCGGGCACAGCCCACTGGTGGCCTTTTCTGCTGCTGGCCACAGTCTGTGCCAGGCAGCCCGGAGCCCAGCCTGCCCCCACCTGGCAGGTGCAGGGAGAGCCCAGCTGGGCCTCAGGAAGTGGGTCCCCCCTTTGGGCAGAAGGTGGGATGGGGTGCCACCAGAGACCCCAGCTGGGCAGGGGACCACCTAATGGCAGCTGTGCCTCGGCCCTTCCGCCTGCTTCCCACCCTGGCACCCA